CCATCCACAGCCATAACTGATTGGATCAGGGGTAGGCAGCTGAGCCAATCAATCCTTGCCTGGCCAGTGACCTCCGATGTGGCTTCACACAAAACATTATCAGTTAGAGACAAATTAAGCTACTAAGAACTTCTTCTGCAGGGCATTTGCTTTGTTTTTAATTGGCACATAAGAAAAACACATATTTTGTGGGGTACAGTGTGATATTGTAATATATGTATACATTATGTAATGATCAAATCAGGGTATTCAGCATCATCTCATACATTTATCATTTCCTTGTGGTAAGAACATTCAACATCTTCTCGTATTTTGAAGTACTTAACACGGTACTGTTAACCATAGTCACCCCACTGTGCAATAGAAACAGAACCTATCTGCCTATCTATGTGTAACTTCCTACCTGTTAATCAATACCTTTTTCAGGCATTTGAACTCAGACATAGAGACATACAGCATCGGAGACAGGAAGCAGCACAAACTGACACCAATGAATCAAAGTAATGTGAGAGCAAACAAAATTCGAAGGAGAGGTTATGAACTAGAGAGAAGAGAGTGGGTAAGGATGCTGACTAGAAGCACAAGAAGCAAATTGAAACAACATGTATGAAAACAGCAGAATGGTGTTAACTTGGAAGTTCCTGTGTCATAAAGTTCTTCTCCAGAGCTGCTCATCAGAATCAGCCTGAGAGATGTTCCCTCATGGAATGCCATCAGAATCTCCAGTGTATTTAGAGGTTGAAAAAGCTATCAAAGCTATTCTGACAGTTGCCGGTCAGGAGTCCCTCGTCTCCAGAGGCCCCACAGTGGCACGTTTCCCTCTCTTGGATTTCATGGAATCCTCTATCTTCCTTTTGACTTTTGAATTGTATGTGCCCTGACAGTTAACCCACTTTACCTAGCCACATGATTTTTCCACTCCTTCTAGGCAAAAGTATCTAAACAATTACTAAAAGGAGAGCTGTAGAAAAGGGGGAAAAATTTTTTTTTGCCTTTATACATGTGCTTTTATTTTTTTGCATTACAATTCTTATTACACATATACACCACAATTTTTCATATCTTTGTATATAAAGTAGGTTGACGCCCAATTCATGTCTTCATACATGTACTTTGGATAATGATGTCCATCACATTCCACCACCATTGCTAACCTCCTGCCCCCTCCCTTTCCCTCCATCCCCTCTTCCCTATCTAGAATTCATCTATTCCTCTCATGTTTCCCCTCCCTACGCCACTATGAGTCAGCCTCCTAAAATCACAGAAAACATTGTTTGGGGGAGATTGGCTGACTTCACTTAGCATTATCTTTTCCAACACCATCCATTTATCTGCAAATGCCATGATTTTATTCTCTTTTATTGCTGAGTAATATTCCATTGTGTATATATGCCACATTTTTTTTTATCCATTCATCCACTGAAGGGCATCTAGGTGGGCTCCACATTTAGCTATTGTGAATTGTGCTGCTATAAACATTGATGTGGCTGTGTCCCTGGAAATGGGTTTTAAATGGAGTTATCTTCCAGAAAAGTAGGGTTTTGAGAAGCTGTTTTTTTTTAAAAGTTGCTTATAACTTGAGAGGGAACCCCGAGACAATTTGGATATAAACAAAGTTACATACATTTCTCTTCATATTTTCTCAATTCATGACTCTAATACTTCATGCCACGTAGAGAAACCAGCTCTGGTTCCTGTCACCTCACGTGTTTATACTTTGTCTGTTAGTACATGGGCCTTATCTACCTCATGTCTGGAATCATGGACAGTAGCTCAGACACTATGGTAGTCTGAGATGTCAATGTACAATTAAAACAAATCACCAAATCAACATTTCTGTAACTTATTTTTGTGACTCCAGGACACTAAGGGATGCTTGGATCTTCTTTGATGGCCGATGAAGGAAATTTGAGGATGCAAAAGCGGTAGTATTAATCAATATCCAATTAACAGTCATTCACAATGAAGATGATAAGTTCTAATTGTAGATTGTCATGATTTCAATATGTAAAAAAAGCACTGTATATTAGAAAATTAGAACTAGAAAATTAAAGTTATTGCATAATTAATGGTACTTATCAAATTACACGTTTTAACAGTTCTTTGTAATTCACCATTATTACGACATACACTTAAAATTGTTTCTTCTATCTTAAGAGTTGAAAACAATGTCCCAACCTTCCTTTCTACTGAAGTTCTTGATATTCCTTTCTTCTTTGCCCCAAGTTACCTGCTTTCTCTGCCTTTGTATGCAGTAAGGTCTCTCCCACTGAATTCCTTCCTTGTTATTTTACTGCTTTACAGCTCCAACAAACTTTATCTGTGAAAGTCCCTGGGTCCACCCAGGAATAATTAGTCATTTTTAAACCCATGTCCCCTACATCATTTACCCCCAAACTTCTTCTACATTGGTCAATATATTTTGTAGAAATTATTTCTTTTTGAGGACTGGGATCAAATTTTATTTATTCATATTTTGCTTTGCTGTAGTAATTTCTAATGCTTAACACAGTGACTGGAACAAAACAGGTGCTAGACACTTTTGTTGCAAAAATGAAGAATGATTGTATATGGTTGTACACAATTTCTAATTCCCACGTGGCTATAGTCAATGGTACTTATTACCAAGATAATTAAGTGGAATGCAGTTTATGGCCAAGAAAGATCATACTCCCTGTAAATCTGGCTCAAAAGAAACCAAATCCATGATTTTGAATTTTAAGGCCATGATCCAAACAAGACAGAGATATCCACATGTGAAATTGTTGCAAAAGAAGTTACCATCTTGAATCTAAAGGAAAATGCATAAAACTCTGTCATGGATGTCAGTAGTAGATAGGAACACTGCTGTGTCAATAAACTTGAAGTAACTAACAATTAACATGGAAATACCTTTTCTGGAAGATATTTATTAAATGTTAAATCATCCAATATTTAAAACTTTGAAACTCCATTTGATACTGAATGAGAGGCTATTAAACAAATACAAATGACAAATTGAGTAACCATTTCAACTTCTTTTTTTTTGGCGGGGGGGGGGGGGGTGGGTTACCTGAGATTGAACTCAAGAAAGTTTCTTCAGTTACACGAAGTCATCTATCTCATTTAAAAAAAAAAAAAAGTCTTATCTGACATATTTGCACCATCTAGACTGCTTTCCTCTAAAAGCCGCTTCATTTCTGAGCCTGGGCTTTTTAGAAAGCCTATAGAAAATACATCATTTTGCATTTGCTGGAAAATTAAAATGTCAACTTAATAGTGATAAGAGGGGGAAAAGTAGAATTATCTATACAAATCAAAATGAAAATCAAACTATTAATTCTTACAACTGCTTGAACTCTGCCTACATCCTGAAACTTCACCTGGGTCCCAGACCCCAAATCATCTGCTTTCTACACATTTTCTCTAACCACATCAAGTTTACCATGCCCAAATGAAACTCCCTAAAATTAGCCCTCCTGTCCATTAAAAACACATCATTCTCCGAGTCACTAAGGTCACTTAAAGTGGTGACTTTTGACCATTCATTTGCATTTTTCTTTTATTTTTTGCCCTTTAATTCTATGGATCTGCAAAGTGAACCTATGTTGTTCCCAATATCCAGCATCCCTTCCTTGCAGAACTAGCTCTCTTGCATTTGAAGTAATACTGTTAATCATTCCTTCCACCTGCATCAAGATGCATGTGACCGGGGCGGATCATTCGAGGTATCTCATTCCCCAAGCAAATAGTATTGGTCAAAGAGATAGGTTTATGCAGCAAGTGGGGCAATCAGAATCCCTATCTTGGAATTCATAATTAAATATTGTAATAAATTCTCTCTCTACTAGCATTGCTAATATAGGAATAAGTGGATCCAGAGTAGAAAGAGAATGACATTAAACCCAAGAATGACATTAAACCAAGAAAAAAGCCAGTTTTAATGACATTGCTTGCATCCCTGACACATCCATGCTTGAAGTCTGTCCCATCCCTGAACTTCCAATTAGGTGAATTTCAAAATCCTGATTCTATCACCTTTTACCTAGATAATCTTGGATAAACTATTCAACTTTTCTGAGCCTCACTTATCTCATCTGCAGAATGGAAAATAATATTATTACCTATCTCACAGGACAATATGAGGATTAGCACTGTAAAGTCTCAATAAATGTCAGCAATAATCATTGAGTGCCAGTGAATTCCTGATCTAATTTGAATTGGGGTCCTGTCACAACAGAAAGAGTGATGATGATAGGATTTCAATTTCCTTAAAAAAATGCTTGGAGTTCATCTATCCTTTACCTTTCCATTTTTACCACATCCACAGGAGTCTTAGCAATGTTTTACCTGACTGCCCTTTAATCCCTACAGTCCACCCGTGCCAGAGCGGCTGCAGTTAGCATCACTTTCTTCTTTGCTCCAACTCCCCGACTGCTGAGGCTCCACCTTTTCCATTCAATCTGAATTGCCTCTAACATTCTGGTCAGCCTCATATCCTACCTTCCACAAGATCCACCTTGCTAATACTGGTCCCTCTGCCTTCTGCCATCACCCTCATTCGTTCTACCTTTTTTTCCCTCTCAATAATCAATGTCAACCATCCCCTGATGCAAGTTCTGCCTCTTCTAGGATGCCTTCTCTGGACCTCATGGCTTTCACTGAGTTACTCTCTGATATTGCACCTCACTTTCAATTCTGGACTAACAGGCTACAACCTGCAATCATAAACAGCTCCGCCTCACTTCAGGTGGACCTAATTAATCCAACTAGAAAGTGAAGTTTGTAAGTTATGTTTCCTGGCATGTCCCTCAACTCAGGGGCAAGTACATACTGGCATCAAAACAAATATTTTTATAGGCTTCACTGATAACACTAACCATTTCTATTTTTCGATCCTGTTGTCTTTAGAGAATTTTTTTAAAATTAAGATGATTTTTACTGCAATTACCTAATCTTCATGCAAACACTCAATTTTGAGAGCACATAATTACTTTAAATGACAAGATAAAGCAACAAGGCAATTTTAAGAGTTACATGTTTTTATTACACAAACATAACATTTCTTGTGGGAGTGGATCTTCAGTTTGCTTCCTGCTTTGACAGAATGTTAAATATCTGTAGAAACTGTCTAAGAGTGATTTATGAAACAAACATTCCGCTACCCCCTTCAAGGAAAAAAAAAAAAGTCTCATTGCCTATATTTCCCAGTCAGATTTCTGAGAAAAATAATAGGTTTTCTTTATTTTTACAGTGTGGTACAAACAATTTCTTTAAAGATATAAAAAAGGACAGACTTGTAAAATATGAGCCCCATTTGTTTACAAAGTTCTATAAAAATACATTAAGTAAGCATGTGTTGGTCCTTTGATTTAATATTCCAATTTACCAGAAACGAAAAAAAATTCAATTACACAAAGATATGCAAACTACATTAATCTTGCAGTAATATAATGTCAACATCATCATGAACACCTTGCAAGAGTAGCTCTCCTGGATATGTGACAATCTTCCTTCGTTTTGCAGCTTTGAGAGTTCCTACCAATGCTTCAAAGAGATTGGCACATTTGTCATCTTGGAAGAGGACCCCAAATTTCACACTTAACTTTCCATCAGCATCTAATTTGAGAAAATACAAAGTTAGTAAATGCAAAATTTGTTTCTTGCCTCCATGCTTAGTGAACTTTCAAAACCTTTAATAAACATCTAACACTGGACTAACCAAGATTACAATGTAAAGCTTAGCCATAATTCAAGCAGCCTCTTCCTAGAGCCGAATGATAGAATAAATACAATGTGTTATGACTCTCCCAGCTTTAACATTATCTACTCAAAGACCGAAAGAGAACCAAGAAATATTTATAAAAAGTGAATGTGCTATGGTACAAATACTGTAGATGAATTCCTTTTGCAGTTCTAACTTTTCCTCTCCAATGACAATTCCTGAGTTCAGACTGTAATTGCAAGTTGGTAAATGATAATCCTTTCCCCATTTTTGTCCACCAACAAATACACCATCCACATTGGTGCAGAATTAAAAAAAAAAAAAAAGTAAAAGATTTTTTCATGTATTTTTAGTTGTAGATGGGCACAATACCTTTATTTTATTTATGTATTTTTATGCGGTGCTGAGGATTGAACCCAGTGCCTCACACATGCTAGGTAAGCGCTCTACCATTGAGCTACAATCCCAGCCCAGAGTAAAAGAAAGTTTATCAGAAGCAAATCTGCTTGATACTCTTCCACTTTAATTGCTCAATGGCTCCCTATCACCTTCCAAATAAAGTGAAGCCCATGCCCTCATAATAAGAACCTTCATCCTCCAACTACACATCCATTTCTTGCCTGATCTTCTGCCTCATCACAAGATATACCTTTTGATCCAATCATGATGAACGCTTGTCATTGTCCACAGTGACATTAAAGAAACTGATTTTGTAATTGTGCCCATGTTGAGGCATCTGCCCAGCATCACAGACCCTTTCCCTAATAAATTCTTTTCTTCAAGAATGGATTCAAATGTCACTTTCTCCAAGAAGGTCCTCCATGATTCTCTCAGAGAGTTGATATCTCTTCTTATAAAACTGACTATATGTCTATCAAAGCACCACCATCAACTATAGTAAAAATAAGTAACACTTACTAAATACTTGCTATAGTCCTACAACTATTCAATGCATTTTAGTCATTAAAATTCACATAATCCTTATTTCATAGAAGAGAAGACACAATTGATTGCAAGAAGCACCATTATTTTATGTTCCAATTAAACTGCCCACTTAACTCCAGCACACCATGATTAGATAAATCCTCATTTCAAAAATTTTTAAATGTAAAAATGTGTACTTGAATCGCTGAGATACAGTATTAGTATACACATAAGGCAACCAAGAAACAGAAAAGTTTAGTCGTGTACCTAAGATCACAAGTAAGTATGTAAGGAAGTTGGGATTCATTCCCAGAGAGTGTTGGGATTCATTCCCACTCCAGTGTCCATGTTCTTAACCACTTCCCAAAACATGCTCCCAGTCTGTCCTCCAACTACCCAAAGAAGTCTTCAAGGACTAAGACTGAATTTTGTTTATTTCTACATTTCCTGCACTTGAGCACAAAGGAAGCATTCAAGAAATAGTTGTTGGATGAAAGCATTTAAAACTCCAAATAGTCAGTCTCCACTTAGTCTTTTCTAGCTGAAAAATGAGACTTTGAAGAATTTGACTTTAGGGGCTGGGGTTGTGGCTCAGTGGTAGAGTACTTGCCTGGCACATTGGAGGCACTGGTTCAATCCTCAGCACCACATAAAAACAAATAAATAAAATAAAGGTATTATGTCCATCTACAACTAAAAAAAAAAAACAGAATTTGACTTTAAAAGAAACAGAACTTTGTTCATCCATTTCCAGCTAGAGTTAAAACATCATATGTTTATTAGTCAAAATTACTCCAGACACAACTTAAATAATTAACCATAAGATGTCAGAAGTTGACATATCTCCATATATGCTTTGCAACTCAGCAAGTCATTTTTTTTACCAAAACAAGAAAGTCAATCCATACAATACTGCTACCCCCGAGAGACATGACATCCTTGGGCTAGAAGAAACTAGGAACTGGGGAGGAATAAAAGCAGGGGTAGCACTGGTGAAAACAAGACTTAATAAATTTCCATCAAGTGGTAATGGTGAAGGGGTTGGAGGAAAGTGGAATTAGAAAGATTGTTCATTTGCCTGACCAGGGAAGTAAATAAATGACATTCTCCAATGTCTGCTTGGTGTTCTCCTCAAACATCAGATTCATTCCCATTCCAAAGTGAACTCATGCTTCTCCTCCTATACTGACCTGCCCCATACTTCAAAATCCTATCTGAGATCCTAGGTTTAAGTAAGTGCCCCCAACTATTATATCAAGAATCAATTTCTACAGTCCCATGCTGAACTGTCAGCACTTCATAGTTTAGCATACCATGTTTTTTTTTCCTGATAATTGCTCCATAAGTGCTCCTTTAGTTTCATCAACTAAGTAGTAAGATTCTAGAGGAAGGGTGCACCTATGTCACTTGTCCCTGCGACATATGCAGATGCTCAATAACTATTAACTGACCATAAGATTAAACTTGCTTGCTTGTTAAATCCACACCACTTTTATATGCCTCCTTCATCTTTTCTTAGTACATGATGACTCAGATTTAATGCAGTAACCAAGTGACTAGAGAAGACCAAAAAGAGAAATGGGTGCTAGGGGTACACCTCAGTGGTAGAGAACTTGCTTAGCATGTATAAGGCCCCAGGTCTGATCCCCTAAAGAAAAAGAAAAAGAAAGAAAGGGAGAAACTCAAAGATACCCATGTCCTAACCTCTAACCTCTAGGACCTGTGTTACCCTACATGGCAAAAGGGGCTTTTCAGATGTGACAATGGAGGACCCTGAATTGGGACAATTATATTGTATTATCTAGATCAGCCCAAGTAACTACAGGTCCTTAAAAATGGAAGACAGAGGCAGGAGAGGAGGTCAGTGTGATACAACATAAGGACTTCACAAGATAATACTGGCTTTGAAGATAGAGAAAGAGGCCATGAACCAAGTAATATGGGCTGGGAAAAGGTAAGGACTTAGATTTTTCCCCTAGAACCTCCAAAAAGGAAGATAGCCTGCCAACCTCTAGATCTTAAGCCCAGTAAGACCCTCATCAGACTCCTGATCTACAGAAGATATGAAATATGTTAATATGTTAAATGTATTATTTCATATCACTAAGTTTGTGGTCATCTGTTACACAAGAATAGAAAACTAATACAGGAGACAGTGGAGATAAATGGTTCAATGGAATTTTCAAAGTGTGTCCTATTATTTCAAAGGATTGGGATTCATAAGCAAATACAGCTTTGAAAATCAAGCTATAAATGATGAAATTCATTTGGAAAAATAAGAGACCCAGAATAGCCAAAGCAATCCTTAGCAAGAAAAGTGAAGCAGGAGGCAACACTATACCAGACCTTAAATTATACTACAGAGCTATAGTAACAAAAACAGAATGGTACTGGGACCAAAACAGATACATAGACTAATGGTACAGAATTGAAGACACAGAGACAAACCCACATAAATATAGTTATCTCATACTAGACAAAGGTGACAAAAACATGCACTGGAGAAAAGATAGCCTCTTTAACAAATGGGGCTGAGAAAACTGGAAATCCATATGTAAAAAAATGAAATTAAACCCCTATCTCTCACCCTACACAAAAAATCAACTCAAAGTGGATCAAGGACTTAGACTCTAGAACAGAGACCCTGTACCTACAGAAGAAAAAGTAGGCGCAAATCTCTACCATGTCAGCTTAGGAAATGACTTCTTTGATAAGACTCCTAAAGAAAGATAAGAAGTAAAATCAAGAATCAATAAATGGGATGGAATCAAACTAAAAAGTTTATTCACAGCAAAGGAAACAATAACATGAAGAGAGAACCTACAGAATGGGAGAAAATATTTACCACATGCACCTCAGACAGAGCATTAATTTCCAGGATACACAAAGAACTCAAAAAACCTAACACCAAAAAAATAAATAACCCAATCAATAAATGGGTAAAGGAACTGAACAGATACTTCACAGAAGAAGAAATACAATCAGCAAATAATATGAAAAAATGTTTAACATCACTAGCAATTAAAGAAATACAAATCAAAACTACAATGAAATTCCATCTCACTTCAGTCAGAATGGCAATTATCAAGAATATAATCAACAAAAAATGTTGGCAAGGATGTGAGGAAAAAGGTACACTCATACATTACTGGTGGGACTGCAAATTGGTATGACCACTCTGGAAAGCAGTATGAAGATTCTTCAGAAAACTTGGAATTGAACCACCATTTGACATGGTTATCCCACTCCTAGGTTTATACCCAAAGTATTTAAAATCAGCATACTACAGTGATGCAGCCACATCAATATTTATAGCAACACAATTCACAATAGCAAACCTACGGAGCCAACCTCAGTGTCCTTCAACAGATGAATGGATTAAAAAAATTGTGGTATACACATATCGGAATATTACTCAGCCATAAAGAAAAAAGGAATTATGGCATTTGCTGGTAAATGAAAGGAACTGGAGAATATCATAGTAAGTGAAATAGGCCAGTCCCAAGGCTGAATGTTTTCTCTGATATGTGGATGTTAATTCACAATGTGGGAGGGGGCTAGGAAAGAGGGAGGTACTTGGGAAGAGAGAGAGGAGTGAAGGGAGGAGAGGGAGTATGAGGGTCGAAATGATAGTAGAATGATTTGGACATTTATCACCCTATGTGCATGTGATTATAGAACCCATATAACTCTGCATCATGTACAACTAGAAGAATGAGAAGTTATACGCCATTTATGTATGATGTGTCAAAATGCATTATACTGTCATGTATAACTAATTTAGAATTAAAAAAAAAAGTCATGTATGTAAAGGGGATTAAGAATGCAAAAAAAAAAATGCAAAAACAAACCTGAACGTTGATCTAATCAAGTGTTAGGGGTAATGTATAAAGAAAATTAAATTCCTCTCTTCCTTAGTAGGAAGTAAGCAGATTATTCTTAACACCAAAACATCACGAAAGATAAGTATGCTGTTTAGAGACATGGAGGTAACTAACAAAGGATGTAAGTTTTTACTTGTGAAGGGCAGGAAATGTGGAGAAACTGGGAGTAGAAGGAAGACTCCTATCAAGCTTTTCATCTTTATTATTTGACTCCTTAAACAATGTGCATGTTTAACTTTGTTTTTTACAAAACCATTTTTTAAGTAAAAAGAAATGTTATAGATTTAAAAAAATCAAGCTATAATGATAAAATAACTCTTGTAAGATACTTCGTAAGTATGTTTTTCATTTATTTGATGTAATTTTAAAACTTTGAGTTCCATTATCCGAGTCATTACTGACTATGTCTATTGTTCTTATTATTTTTAAAATGCTCCCCAAATTCTTATGTCTTTTCTCTGAGATGTAACAAATACCTAAAGCTACAAGTATAATAGTAACTCTGATTACAACTTAGGAAAAAGACACTAATACTACCAATTTTACATGTCACTATCTTTATAGTAGCTGCCTGCCTAGTTGTTGAAGAAAAGGACAATTTAAAAGAGAATATCCTAAAAGATTTTGTTTTAAATTCTAGTTATATGCTCACATTTGTATAAAACTCAAGAATTTAGAGAAAATAAAGACGATTTTGTATAGTTGCGATTGAAGTCCTGAGTTACTTTGGAAGTTCATAAAATGGTGGCAGAATAAAGCAGAAAACATGGATTTTAATAGTGTGGCAAATAAAAATTTGAACTCAATTACCAGATTTTAATGCAACCAGATACAAGATGTTCAGTGATTTTCTTTCCATTCAAAGGGTAAGGAAACATCTCAACTATTCTACCTCAGAAACTGGATACCCCAGTAGCCCTGTGTCTCAAGGTGTGCCTTCATGGCCAAGGGTAGTTACTACTTGAGACTGTGGACAGAATTGCCAGTCACTGTCCTAAAGCCCTGGGGTGGCCCCTTTCTAGGTCAGAATGCCAGTGCAGCCTGCTGTGAAGTAAACTAGAAGAAATACCCGTGTTACTTACTTTTTGAACCCAAACGATGAATTTCCTCCACTAAGAGGTTAACTTCATGATCCACATTCATTGCAACCTGCAAGAAAAAATAAGATTACCTTATGACCGTTTCTATGTTCCATCAAGCACCTATAATCCAATGGCTCTATCTTTTTTGATGTGACATTTGTCACTATTATTTTCCATGTCCCTCTTCCTAAAAAGACTGTGTGATGTAAGGGCATTAAAGTATGCCCACCTTCACTATCTGTGTACAGCTTTCCCTCTTGGCTACCCCAAATCCTGTTGTCCACCCCAAATCCTGTTGTCCACAGTCTATTGGGGGAAAGGCAGCCCTTCTTCTCCTGCTATTACTCTAAACAGGTGTCCTTCACATTGCCCTGGGAGACCCAAATACTACAAAAAGTGAGTAACATAGGATCCTTGCTCAGGGCAGAGGGTTCTGGAACCAAAAGCAGGGTGACAAGCACTCTAAGAGGTGAGTCCAAGGCATTAAGGAAAGCTGGAAAAGGCTTCCAGGAGGTCACGGGGAAGGAGTGGAGCAAGCAGACAAACGGGAAAGAGTGTTTTATGAATGGGGAAGAGCATGTGCAAAATCATGGAGAAACTGATATACTTCCTGCCTTTCAAGAGCCTGCAGTCTAGAGGGGAAGGCAGATTGATAAAAGTGGCAATTTTAGTACCCTCAGGTCAGTGCAGTGATAATTTATGGGTCACAGTACATCTGACAGCAGTGAAGAGCTTGTGGTGAAGACTATTCACCTTCAGATAAGGAGGTGTTCAGGACCTAATGGGAGTGGAGATTTATCTTGGATTGCTAGGTCCTCTATAGGCTGCTTCCGCACACTTTCAGCCTCTTTCATTCTTCCCCACTTGAACTCCAGGCTGCAACCACACTGGGTTTCTTTCCATTCCTCAAACGTTCCTTATTCTCATCTCCAGCCTTCCCACATACTGTTTCTTCAGCCTAGACTCATTATTTCTTTCTCAAGGCTAACTCTCATGTGTTCACTTCCTGCTTAGAGGAAACTTCCTCCAGAAAGCCTTCCCCGAAGCTCTGGAGGTAGAGAGCTCTCCAACTCTGTGTTCCCACAGGGCCCTGTGCTCTTTTATATTTTACTCCATTGGAATTACTGGTTTCTCCATTTTCTCCACTAAATGATAAGCTCCTGTCTTCAGGAATTTGACTGAAAAGCTCCCTGTTTATCACTTCTGACACTGAGAGTCGAGGTTCCATAAATATTGGTTTCATGGACTGAAAAAAACAAGCAAAGAGACAAGAGGGGATGGAACTATATCTGTAAGCACATCAGAAAGTTCAAGCAACTGGGTGGAACAAGCATCAATTCAGTCTTTTTGAATCATACTTTTTTCAAACCGAATAAGGGACAAAAAAGGGGGGGGGGGACTGTGTATATGGTTTCCTTTAAGGTGACAATAATTTGGAAGAAACAGCTTTATCCAGATGGAAAATAACTAATTCCTGGTAGCTTTTAGAGACAAGAGTGACATCTATGTCTATAGACCACCTGTTTAAATGATATTGATTGGAACACCAGATTTTCTATCAGCTAATAATTAAAAGCACCACTACCATCTGCTATGTTATTTATCTGAATATTATAATTTAAGGACCTTGTATTGCAATAAAATGCAAAATCTTCAATTAAATGCATCTATATAAAACTTATTATCAAAAATTATCCAAATACTGGGACTTTGCATTTGGGGGAAATCATATCTTTAACATTGTATGTAACTCAAGACATAGTTTAAAAGAGATACTAAAAACATGAAATGTATCCAGAGATTATGGCCAGAATGCTGAAGGCTTGAACAGGATGCCACGAGAAAAACAGCAGGGAAAAAACCTATTAATGACAGAGTGGTGGGCAGCTTTTGTTTCTGCCTGCCAGTACCCATTCCCCATTCTCACAGTGAACAATCTCATTTTTGTCTGCTTGGAGCACTTCCTTCCTTATTCCAAACCCATGGATCTTGGACAGAGCCTCACCTGAGTCTCCAAGAGTGGTTCAAGACCAAAAAGATTGGTTTGAGGCATTAGGTTGGTGTTGCCATCCACATCAATGAAGTTAAACCCTAACATTTTGCTAGAACTAGCAAAACACCACTCTCTTCCCACTGGATTCTAAGATGTTAGTTTATAGCCCTGATGTTGGAAGACCCCATGTTGGAAGTACCTAACAAGGACAGAGCTGACACAAAGAAAATCCAGACATGTTACAATGACTAAGCCCTTATGTAACTCTGGACTCTCCAGTTACATGAACCAATGCTGTCTTTCCTACTTTTTCTTGTGCTGGTTTGACTGAGTTTCTATCACTTACACTTTAAATAGTCTTGACCCATAAAATTAGTTAGAGATCTACTGGTTTTTTTTTTTTTTTAACTAAAGTTCTTTTTATTTTTTTCTTTGTGATACTGGGAATTGAACCCAGGGGTGCTTTACCATGGAGTTAAATCCCCAGCCTCTTTTATTTTTTATTTTGAGACAGGGTTTCACAAGGTTGCCCAGACTGACCTCCAACTTACAATCTTCCTACCTCAGTCTCCTGATTTGTTGGGATTACAGGCATGTGTCACCTCACCCAGCTAAAGCTCATTTTATACTCTTATATGATTAGTCTTGTTTCATATTTCGCTATTGGATAGATAGGATGGATAGATGTATTAGAAAAGCAGATTCGGGGGCCATATTTTTTAAAAAATTCTAAGGCTGGGGATAGCTCAGTAGTAGCATGCTTGCCTAGCATATGCTAGGCTCTGGGTTCAATCCCCAGCACCATCAAAGAACAAAAACTCTCTAACAACCAAACTGCCCAATAATACAGTTTGTATTCTGTTCCTGGAGGTATTAATGAAGAAGTAGCAAGGCTCTATGAGGAATGATGAAAAAATTAGCCTGCACTGGACAGAAAAATAATGAAATGTTCAAGATTAAGAATTTCTTCAATTCTCCTATTATCAGATTCCCAGGCCCTGGAAATTTATCTCTTCAACACCACTCCCCCATTCCTTCCACCCATCATCAGCAACACATTTCAGATTTAGATCTCAATTAATAATGAGAATCAACGAGAAAATCCCTCTATTATGTTCAACATGCATACCTGCATTATATTAAGCAGATGTATGTCCATCCAATTCTGAGAAAGCAACCAGCATTTCTTTATAATCATTTACACATTCAGGTCTTTACCTATTTTAATTCACACAGTTCTAAGAACCTTGCAACGTACTTATTATTCATTCGATTTTTATGGATATTGAAACAGGCTCCGAGGGATTAACGCCCCACAATTAAATACTGTTTCCAACATATCATTCTGGTTCTTCCTCCTCCTCCTCCTCCTCTTCTTTTTCTTTTCTATTGTACAAATGCACTAAATATAATAGCGTATTTGTATGAAATATTTCATGCTGAGTACTTGCTAAGGCAGATCAACTTACAAAGCAAAAAGGCTTCCTGCCCAGACCCCTATAAATAGGAAAATAATAGGTTTTGAAATTAACTGCTAGCATACATAATTTGGCATGTTTTATTCATTTCTTTTATTATTGGGGAGGGGAGGGTAGGCATAAAGAAGAAAACTGCTCATTGTGACACAATCCTTGGATGGCCCATGATATTTTATTAGCAGGACAGAAGCTTGAGACTGAAGTGAGCAAGAAGATCAAGAACAATGAGAGGCCATAAGCAGAACAAGCCTAGGGGGAAGAAAGAGGTTGTCAATGAGGCTGAACCAGAAGAAAGAAAGCAGCTCAAGGGAAGGCGAAGGCAGATGCTAGTCGCGCCTTCTGTCAGAGAATCTAATTAGGCTTTGTGCGTGGGAATCACAAAGAAAACGGAATGAAGCATATGCTGGGACGCCCCATCAATACACGCTGAAGAATGTATTTAAGGTCCCTCTAATATTTGTGTGTGTTAAAGTTTGGAGGCAATGCGTGAAGATTTTCTAATAACTACGGAAATAAAACCTACTGGAGTGGGGACTCCAGGAAATCAGGAGCGAACTTCACACAACACACACACACACACACACACACACACGCCGGGCGCTTTCCCAGCCCTCCCTTGCAATCACTTAACAGCTGGTGAGGGTCAAAGGATGACTGGGTTCCTTCCTCTCGCTGGCGCGCGCACGCTCCATATTTGGTCATCGCTTCTCTAAGTTTGGGATCCTGCCAAGTAAGGGTCCCAAGCCCTATGCCCTGCAGGCCATCACACGGTCACCACTGGCACCGGTGCAGGACTGGGGAGTGCTGAGCTTCTGCCCTCCATCTCCGAGCAGCCCTACGCGTCCCAGGAAGAGCTGCGTCCCGGAAGCCTTTGTCCCGGCAACTCACCGGCCAGCGCTGCCTGCCCACGTTTCCCCCAGGGCCGGGTCTGCCGAAAAGGGACACGGCCCAGGGTTCCACCAGTCCCCTCACTAACCTCTTCCCTACCCTCGACCTAAGGGCAGGGCCTCAGCCACCTCCCCCTACTGCAGAGGACATTGCCCCGAGGTCACCAAATTTCTAGGAACAGTGTCTCCCAGCCCTCCAATCCTTCTCCACCCAGTTCTGCAGAATTGGCACCCGACCCACCGTTAAGTGCAAAACCCAAGCGTTACACCGCGGTAAAAAAAAAAAAAAAATCGTTTCCTCGTTTCTCGCTTCACCGTCAGCCCCTAGCCGGCAAAACGTCACGTGAGCGGAGTGCGGAAGTCTGCGGGAGAAGCGGGGCGTGGGAGGCGCGCGCCCACCCAGTCCACTCCTTCACGGTTTCAGCCCCCGCCGCTCATCGCCTCCGCGCACCCCTGAGCCGCCTCGCGGTCCCGGCTGTCCACCCGCAGCCCGCGATGCCGCCAGCAGATTGACCCCTGCCGGACACTCCAGTCCATCTTCGCTACCTTGCCACATCTTCCCGGGGGACTCACCTATAGCTTCGTTTTCTTTATCAATGAAGAATTGGTGTCGAGTCGGTCTAGACCCGGTTATCTTCTTCAGTGTGTTGGGGAGGAAGAGTCTGAAGAAGGAAGTGGCCGCTAGGCAATAGAAAGGTTCCTGGGGAGGAGGAGGAGGAAGGGGAGGAGGAGCCGGGTGGGGAAAAAGTAAAAGAGTTTCTGCGCTCAGGAAAGGGGCCGCCCATTCGCCCAGGGACAAGCCTATGAGGAGGAAACTTGGGGGAGGAGACGCCAGAGAAGGGGGCAGTCTCTGGACAGGTGGCTGGGCACGCGGGGCTCCTAGGAGTACCAACCACAGCTTCGATTACCTCCACCTTTCCTTCGTGCAGCCCAGAGTCCTGAACCGCATCACACTGCATCTGATCCTACCGGAGTCTCTCTCCCAACAAAAGGAACAAAGCGCCCCCAACGTGCTCAACAGTGAGGGCTCTTAGGAAGACCGTGACTCACTTGGGTTCTATTTGCCAGGAGCAGGAGCCTCCAGAACACTGAGTGTAATGACTCAAGAGTGGTCTGAATTGCAAAGCCAAGTGCATTCTTGAAAGCCAGTTTGTTTTACTGCAAAGTAATGTTTCTTGGACAAAGCAAGCTCTTAAGCTTCATTATTTCCTACATCTAACTTTATAATTCAATCATTTTATTCATACTCCCTTTATTTTAATCGTGTGTGTGTGTGTGTGTGTGTGTGTGTGTGTGTGTGATGTTTGCTGTATCCAGGTTTTGGAAAGGAAAACCAGCCCAAACTATTCCTAGAGCAGGGGTTGTACAAATAATGAATAATAACTACAAAATAATGTTCTTTCCCCAACCCCGGCTGATTGAATTAAGAGTAATAGTTCCCGGGCTAAGGTTATAGCTCAGTGGTAGCGCACTTGCCTAGCATGTGTGAGGTACTGGGCTTGATTCTCAGCACCACACATAAATAAATAAAGTTCTATCAACAACTAAAAAATGATTTTAAAAAAAAAGAGAGTAATAGTCCCACCCGAGCATACACATTCATAAAGTCCTCATTGAAGTAACCAAGGGCAAGCAATTCTCACCAAACAGGGTGGTAATTAGCAAATTATCTGACAACTGTCTGATGGAACTGTGATAATTAATAAACTAATCAAAATATCCCTTGGAAAAAGAAAATAGAGAATGAATTGAGAGGGGGATGAGGCAGAAGGGGCCAAAATAAGCTTCCAGAAAGCAAGACCACTGACTAAGCAGAAACCAGCATGACCAAGTGGAAGGTGGGTGGTGACAGAAATGGCCGAAGCAGCAGCTAAGACAGTGTTGGAAGGAGGGCAACAAAGACCTGCTTCCCCAGGGTGTGTGAGTATCCAGGTCCTAGGGCTGCACTAGATCCATCCACTTCCCAAGCTGGGTTCTAGTTACCCTTTTATATCAATACCTGTCACGTGGGTGTGACTCTGAATGAGACTCTGTAATCTTCAACAAAGATGCGATTCTTCTAAGCTTCTCATGTCCGATGCAATTTGAGGAGATTTCAAGATCCTCTGGGTTCTGTTTTTTCCTCACCAATAAAAAGCTATGAAGTTATACTTTATATCTTTCAAAGAGTACATAATGCAATGATTATAATTGAGAAAAATGTCATATTAGTAATTTTCCAAGCAAGACCTAGCTATTTCTTCCTGTGGCAGTGATCACAATTGGTCAGATAATATCTAATGAAGTGAATAATGAATGATGAATAAGGGTGTACTGTGGTGTGTCACTAAGGAGTTAGTGTTTTCCAGTACTCTGTCAGCCAGGAAAAAATGAAATAGATTACTTTACCTAAACAAGTCTAAATCTATGTTAGCTTTAAGATAAATTCTTTTACAATGTTATTTATACACTTTTCACACTAGGTATTACAGACTTCATATTAATCTACAGTATAAGGAATTATAATTCAAGACGATTGTTTTTGATCAGAGATAATTAAAAGTTTTGTCAAAATAAGGTTTTTCACACCAATTACTGTTCCCTTAGTTTCCATACAGACTTTTGCTATTTTTTTCTTCTCTTAGGAATATTATTGTATATAATGTAAGCAATGTGGAAATTTTATGGTAAATGTAACAATCCCAGATAGTCAACAGTCCCTGACTTTTATTATTCCTTAAAGTAAGGCTTCTCATTGGGACATGTCATTCCAGTTCAGTAATAATAATAATGATTGCATGTCTTGGCACTAATTCCTGAAACAACTGGAGTACTGTTTGAGTGCAAGTAAGTAAATATAAAATCTGTGCCTCAGCCAGGTATAGTGACACACACCTGTAATCTCAGCCGGTAGGCTGAGACAGGAGAATCACAAGTTCAAGGCCAGTCTGGGCAACTTAGTGAGACCCTGACTCAAAAACAAAAACAAAACAAAACAAAAATTCTATGCCTTCAAGAAATTATGGGAGAAGGATTATACAACATGAGCAAGTAGGGTTTATCCCAGGAATGTAAAGTTGATTGAACATTCATAAATTAACCAATATAATACAATGTATTAGTGGAATAAATGGAAATACCACGTTTTTTTTTTTTATTTTATCAGGTGCAGGAAAAGCATTTAAAAAATCAATTACCTTTTCATGATCAAAACACAAAAGCAACAACACAACTAGGTATACAAGGGGCTCTCTACAACTTATCAAAGGGCATCTACAAGTGACTCACAGCTAACTTTATACTTGATGATGAAAGACTGAAGGCTTCCCCCTGCATTCAAGAACAAGACAAGGGGCTGGGATTGTAGCTCAGTGGTAGAGTGCTTGCCTCACACACAAGAGGCACTGAGTTCTATCCTTAGCACCACATAAAAATAAATAAAGATTGTATCCGTCTACAACTTTAAAAACATATATTTTTTTTTAAAAAAAGAACAAGACAAGAATATATGCTAAAGAATCTGCCTCCCCCAAAGAAGCCAGACATGGTGGTGCATGCATATAATACCAGCTACTCAGGAGGCTAAGGCAGGAGGATCTCAAGTTTGAGGCCAGTTTTGGCAATTTAGTGAGAGCCTGTTTCAAAATAAAATAAAATAAAAAGGGCTGAAGATATATAGCTCACTGGTGGAGTGCTTGTCTAGCATGTGTTGAGGTCCCAGTATGGGGGTGAAGTTATCTTGAATTAAGCATGTGGGGAGGTCTGGAATTTTGTTGCATAATTTTGTGAATATACTAAAATCCAATTGATTGTACACTTTAAAATGGTGAGTTTTGTGGCATATGAGTTATATCTTAATTTTCTTTAAAAAAGAAACTACAGAAACTCAAGACTAATGGATAATTAATTAAAAGCTAAATCAGAAAACAAAAAATGATGATTTAGCTGAAATACTAAACTGTTGAACAAAAGGGCTAGTGTAACTGCTTTAGGAATGTGTTGCATTTATTCATTGCTGCTTTATTCATTCATTCATTCATTCATCCAATATTTACTGAAAACCACTATGTGCCAAGTCTCATATATCTCTTTCTTAAAATGTGGTCAAAGACAACATTTTTATATGAAGGAGAACCATTCCTGTCAAATGAAAAAGACTCTTCTAACTTGGCTCATTACACAATTCATTCTAATTTAAATGAAGATATTTTCTTTTTTTCCTTCCTCCATATCTTGCTTTAGTATTTCTTTTCTGTAACTCTCAAATCAGAAACAATATCTTCAACAAGACTCTTAATTTGTAAGAAATAAAAACATATTAAACTAGCACCAGTAATTGAATTATTGAAAGATTGCAACAGAAATTTTCATGGACATTCAAGGATAGGAAACAAAGTATGTGCTAGTGACTTTAGACTTAGTGGAAAAGTCAGGACCAAAGTGTTACCATCTCTGGAGACAACACTATCACCCCCTCCCCCACCTCTCTCCTCCTTTCAGTATGTTTATAATCTCCACCAACTCACCTCTAATTCACATTGCTTATGGCTTTAGTTTCCCATGGCACAAAGTCTCTGGTGCTAACTCTACTTGTTCAACTTGTCATTATCAGACAGATGCGGTCTTTCAGAGTGTTCTTTAAAGAAACAATCTAATTGGCCTAATATGGATTATCAGCCCAGTCAAATCTGCTATGTCCAAAACTAGGGCTTCTCCTTCCAAAAAAGACAAATGAGATCATTTCTCTATCAAAGAGGTATGAAAAGGAGTTATTACAACCTATATCTTCCATGGACAACATCAATATGTAGCTATTAGTCCCACATGGATTTTGTCATTTATACTTAATTTAAAATTTAAAAAATATTAAATATTCAGAACCGTAGTAGACACATCTCAAGTGCTCAATTACCATAATGGTTAATGACTACTATATTGGGTATCACAGATTTTTCTACTATCTCAGAAAATTCTATTGAGCAGAGCAGTTTTTCTTTTTTCTTTTTAACCATTGGTTAAAAAGAAATCAACAAAACTTGGAAAATCAGTAAAAACCCTAATGAGATAATTAACCACTGGTCTTCCAATTCTTCCCTCACTCCCAACCACCAACCAACAAGTTCACAAATACTTGTGTTTTATACCTCCTGATTTTCTGAAAAGAAACTTAAATTACTACAATAAAATGATTCACCAAATAGACAAATCATGGGACTGTCCCAGTCAATTTAGGACAACTGGTCATCCTACCCACATTTCACCCTCCCCATTCGTAGAGTTGTTTCATTTGGTATTCAGTTTTTCCACTTTCTTTTTCCTGTGTCTTTGTTGTGGCTCCAGGAGGAGAGAGGCTACATTATCCCTCTTTGAGCTTGAGCCAAATGGCCAGTGTTGCCAGCTGAGAGTTAAAGTTTCAAGATCATTAAACCCAGTCATGAGAGGTTAAGTGCTATGTGCAAAGAGCAGCCAGATGGGCAGCTGTGGGGAACTCAGTGGAGTCAGGTGTCAAGGAGGGCACCAAGAAATACAGTTGTTTTTTGTTTTTTTTTTTAATCTGAACATCCAAGTGACTATCTAGGGAGTCTGGAAAGCTTGGAGGGGAAGGGCTTACTGCCACCAGACGTGCACATTAGAATCACCCACCAACTTTAAAATGCAGTGCCTAAGACCTAACCAAACTAGTGGATCCAGAATTTCTGGGGCAATCATGTTTTAAGGTCCCCAGATGATTCTAATGTGCAACTGAGGATGAGAACTACTGTTCTAGAT